GGGCTCAAGGCTTTTACATCTACGACACCAAAAACACTTACACTTCCTGGCTTGGATTTACGTTTGTTCTTAACACCACCGACCATCAGGGAACCATCACTTTCGCCGGAGCTGACCCCATCATGCAGAAGACTAGAGATATCTCTGTCACTGGTGGCACCGGCGATTTCTTTATGCACAGAGGAATCGCCACCATTATGACCGATGCATTTGAGGGCGAAGTTTATTTCCGACTTCGTGTTGATATCAAGTTCTACGACTGTTGGTCATATTAAAAGTCCCGTAAAGGTTTCCTTTTATGTTCGACTTCATCAAATGTTATTGCATGTGTACCTTTCTCTCCGCAGAGATTTTATTTTATTCTATCAATGTACCAGTTTGGATTTCAATTCGGAATTTTTAGACCATCAAATAAGTAAGGTTAATGATAAAATACATTATAAAAAAAATAGTATTTATGTGAAAGAATTATTTCGAATAATTCGACCTAATTAAATTGAGTACTATTAGTCGCCGATTTTATATTGACTAGTGCTGGAGATATTCTTGGTGGAATAAAACCAGTATGTCTGAAGTGTTCTTACGTAATGTGGGGAAACACTTGAGTTGACTATTTTATGTGCTACCACTTAATACAACAAATAGTTTTGAAGGAAAGTCATATGCTGTATTTGGTAGGGTAAACTATTTCACTCGTTGTTTCACTTTAAAAGCATGAAGTTCAACTTCTCTTGAAACAGGGCTAAAAAAACTAAAATTCGTGCTCAAGATTTTGTAATGACTTTTAAAAAAGTATATATATGACCTAATTTTTTTGTTTTTTCTCTTTTAGTTGTAGGTAGAATTTATTTCCATTGCGGTGTGTGTTATGTATGTGCTTCTATGTCAAATTAATAATTTTTTTCTTTTCATTCGTAAGTGCTGATTTCACTAAGAAGTTGCTTATTTTGATTTTCTTACTAAGATTAATATTTTATTCAAGAATTAAGAGACGTAATTAAGTTCTAAAATAGGTAAGAACCAATATGAAGAATAAGACATGGAACATGGAAACTGCATCATTGAATAAACAAGTTCTAAAATATAACTACTGAACTTCTACAAGCGCTTGACAAGCGGTTTCCGCTATGAAAAATCACGGGTGTTGCTCCCTCTACCCCACACGTCTCTTCCTCCACCTCCCCAATTTTCTAAAATGCCAATTATATCCTTCTAAAATGACAATTATGCCCAAGACTTATGATTATCACCAAATGACTGCACCCTTCATTCAGGTTAAATTCTATTTAATATTTGGATAAATTCATCCCTCGGGGAGAGAAAATAAGAAACTAAAATGATTAATTTTAACTTTAGATTAAACTAAACTAGGAAGACAGGTTAATAGAGAAGCTTATCCATTTAAGACTATTTTTGATTTTGCATGTTACTTACTCGATCCTGTTGCTTAAATTGGCTACTCGTTGTGTTTGAGTGCTTAGATTAAGATGCTGAAAATTCTCGCATTGTTGGGAAGTGGTGACAAGCAGGCTAGTGGACACATGTACACCGTGCTCGGTGATATAATTAGGAAGAGTGATTCCATGACCAACATAGGGAATGTTGTTCTCTATGAGTGTATATCCTCAAAACGGATGTCGACATCCGTTTCGCCTTAAACGGATGTTGACATCCGTTTCGCCTTAAACGGATGTTGACATCCGTTGAAGGATGTCATCTGTCCAGAGGCAGTGTTCCTTTTACGTTTGGTTTTTATTTTACTACGTTTTGCGGCTCATGCAAGGATTATAGGCTTGGATATTAAAAGGATTATTGGAAGTATGGGAAGGGTTTAGGTTT